ACACTTTTTTTTTCTATAAAATATGTATATATAAGTTATAACACTAAGAGACGTGTTTGCCATGACCATAAAAAAATTCCTTTTTTCGGCTTTTGGCTTGCATCGTATGTTTTCAATTAGCTGGCGATAATCTCGGGCCAAAGACAAAATACGCTAGCGATAATCGGAATTGATTAAGGAATACGCGCACTACGACTACAGACAGGTTTTCTATTCTTTGTATTTTGTTTTTTTAAATTTGAATGACACACGATAAGGTCAATGATTTTCCTCAAAAGAAAAAAAAAAAAAAAGGGAATAATTTTTATTTTTTATATTAAATTATGTGAAAGTTAATTTTAATTTAAATTATAAATGGTACATTTATGTTTTTCACCGTTATAATAAGTCAAATTAATTAAAAAATAAGTTAATTTTAACATTTTTAATACAAAAGTAAATGATTATTGACAAATAATTTTTTTTTTCCTGCCAAGTGCGGTAAAGGCGGTTACTCGATTTTTGGGTCCTCAACTTTGTGTATAAAGTGACGATTTGGTCCCTAAACTAAATAAATTTCTTTTTTTAATCTTAAAATTTTGAATTTTAGGTCCTTTTTTTTTTTCCAAAATAGATATTTATTTAGTTCAATGATCAAATTAGGAATTCATACAAAAGATCAGAGAGCATAATTGAGGTTTAATTTATGGGCAATTTTGTGGTTAAATGAGATTTTAAAGTCAATATTGAAGGAAAAAAATAGGTGATGACATTAATTGATATATTATATAATTTATAATGATTAAACTCTCTATTTGTATCTTACATATTATTTTTTTTTACAGTTAATATCCTTTATAATTTTCACTCTAATCAACATCTTTTTATAATTTGAAATCTATAAAAAAAAATCTTAAATTAGCAATAAAATTAGGGTGTAAATAAGAGGTTTAGTTATTAATTTTTGGGTTTTTTGGGGTTTTAAATTATGGATGGTATTGAGTTAAAATTTTTGAAGATATTGATCACAGAACAAAATAATGTATAAGGTATAAATAGGAGATTTGGCTATCTAAATTTTAAGATAATGATTAAAAAATTCAAAATTTAAAGCTTTAGAGACTAAAACATAATCCATCTAGTTTAGAGATTAAGTAAGGAGTTCATACCAAAGTTGAGGGACCAAAAATTGAACGTAACCGTTAAAAATCCTAGGTACACTTGCCTTATGCGACTTTATCAAAAAGAAAAAAAAAAAAAAAAGCAAAACCCTACATTAAACCTTTAAACTTACTCCAAATTTTTAATTAAATCTTTAAATTTTTATTAAAGTGAATAAATCCTTAAATTTATAGATTTGGGCAATTTAATACTCTTCTTTATAACAACTTTAATGTCTATTTGTGCGTTATTTATATGAACAAAGTTAATACTCATCACATTGGTAATGACACTTCAATATTTATTTATGCAAGTGATGCACAAATGAATGTGGTTAAAATCTAATTTTAGTCCATCCATTTGAACAAAAAGTCCTTTTTTAGTACATAAAGTTTATTATTTTACTCATTTTTAGTCCCTCTATCACTTTTTTACATACATAACATGTTAAGTAACGAAATTTCAAATTAGAAAGGCTAAAAGAGGGTCCTTTAAAGTGAAAAGACTAAAAATGAACTTTTTTAGTTTCTCTACTTTAAAATTTTTATTATATAACATGTTATGTGTATAAAAAATGAACAAAATAATTAAAAAATGACTATATAATAAATTTTAGGGACTAAAAATCTGTTTTGTTAAGTAAAGAGATTAAAAATGAACTTTTTAAATTGCCCATATTGAAAATTAAGGGTTTATTTACTTTATTAAAAGTTTAGGGACTTAATAAAAAATTTGAAGTAAGTTTTGTAGCTTAAGGTTTTGCCAAAAAAAAAAAAATTGCATTCTATGACTTTTACAAAAATCCACGTCAACACGTACGTGGACACCGGTGACGAAGAATTCCCAATAAAAAAATGACACGTCAGAAATTCGCCACGTCTGAAGCGAGTATTAATTTTTCCGATGTACTCCAGCGCGTGAACTATATATTACACCATTCCAGTGGGCTCAAGTTAGTCACGTGTGAGGCCACGTTCGTCGCGTTCTCTCTCGACTCCTGCCTGCCGCCCGCAGATCGCATCACATTAAATCTCCTTTGGAACCCTCAGTTTCTTAGCAAAGAGAAAAACAAGATTGAAGCGAGCTCGACAATGGCGGTTGGGGTTCCGATTTGGTTTTCTCTCCTGGTTTTGACGGCGGTCGCTTCGTCCCTCGCTCAGATCTCGGCGGAGGAGACGGAATCGAAGGAGTTTGTGTTGACTTTGGATAACTCAAACTTCTCCGATACTGTCAGCAAGCACAAGTTCATCGTCGTCGAGTTCTACGCTCCTTGGTATATTTCCTTTCTTCATTGCCTTCTCTTTTTTTGGTTCTGAATTTTTTTTTTTGGTTTTTTATTGAGCTTGATTCTGTTCGTTTCTCCATGGATCTCTGTTATGTTTTCTTGTTGTTTTCTAAATCAGAATTGAATGATCCGAGTTCTAAGATTTCAAGTAGCTCTGTTCTAAGCAAAATAATATGGAAAATTTAGCTGATTGATGTTTCTTTATTTTTTGGGGAATTAAGAATAAGAATCTCTATCTTTTCATTTTGAACTTAATAGTTGTTCATTCTCTATTACCAAAGGAAACAGTTTTTTTTTTTTTTTTTTTTAATATTCGAATTTTCTCAATGCATGTAAAGAAAATAATTGCATATATGGAGTTAAGTAAAAATAAAACGTCAATTCATTAAAAATTAAAATTCTAAGCTATTTTTATTTAAATGTAATTGAGATGATATTAAAAAAGTTTTATAATATTCAGAAATATTAGAAGAGTTTATTTGGTGAACCATTACCAAAGTGTTTTTAGTCCTTTCATGATACCTGATTTATTTGCATTTTACCGATCTCTTTCAGGTGTGGACACTGTAAGAAGCTTGCTCCAGAGGTAATACGAATCGCGCGCTAAGTATTACACCATTGAATTTCTGTTTTGTACTTCTATTTGTTTATTAGAATCTAATAACAACATTTCTGCTGTTTTATATACAGTATGAGAAAGCTGCATCTATATTGAGCAGTCATGATCCTCCAATTGTTCTTGCCAAAGTGGATGCTAATGAAGAAGCAAACAAAGAGCTTGCAAATCAGCATGAGGTTAGGGGTTACCCGACTGTCAAAATTTTAAGAAATGAAGGAAAGGTTATTCAAGAATACAAAGGTCCTCGTGATGCTGATGGTATTGTGGATTATTTAAAGAAACAAAGTGGCCCTGCTTCTGCAGAGATAAAATCTGCAGAAGATGCTAGCAGTCTTATCGAGGACAAGAAGATTGTTATTGTAAGTGCTCTAAGCATACTTTTCTCCTTTTTCAACCTTTCTAATATTGGGAAATGCAGTTAATATGAGCATTTAATCATCTGGTTGTAGGTCGGGGTGTTCCCAAAATTCTCTGGAGAGGAGTTCGAGAACTATATTGCTTTTGCTGAGAAATTGAGATCAGACTATGAATTTGGTCATACATTGAATGCTAAACACCTCCCACGTGGAGAGTCGTCAGTTAGTGGCCCCTTAGTTAGGCTGTTCAAGCCTTTTGATGAACTCTTTGTTGACTCTCAGGTACCCTGAGGATTTGACAATCATTCTATATCATTATTTAGCTACAGTTTATTTATTTAATATTATCTTGCACCCTTTACAATCATCTCTTTTCCTGAACTTTTGTATTTGCAGGATTTTAATGTGGAAGCTTTGGAGAAGTTTGTTCAAGAATCTAGCGTCCCACTTGTAACTGTCTTTAACAATGACCCAAGCAACCACCCATTCGTTGTCAAATTCTTTAATACTCCTGATGCAAAGGTAGATAAATCAGAAATTGGTTTTCTTTCCAATCTATGATATCTCCCCTGAGCCTTTGCTGTTCATAATTTGGCATCCATTGCTCTTCTTGCAGTTCAATTTTTCTTTCTACATTTTTTTGAGAGGTTTCTTCATTTTACTAAGCAATTACATAATCTTACATTGACTAGTTGTGCTGAAGTTTAGGACTGATTGAGAGTGACCATTTTATCTGCAGTCAATTCACATTTGTAATGCACTTTTCTTGGTTCTTTGAATTATCTTCCAATAAAACTTTTGAAACTTGTAGGCAATGCTTTTCATGAACTTCAGCAGTGAAGCTGCTGATTCCTTTAAATCAAAATATCGTGAAGTTGCTGAGAAATATAGAGGAACTGGGATCAGTTTTCTGTTGGGAGATGTTGAGGCTAGTCAAAATGCCTTTGAGGTTGGTGTCTCTTCAAGATTTCAAAATGTTTCATTTGCCTCCCACTTATTGTATTTGCTGCTAATCTAATTTATATACTGATTGAATAACAGTATTTTGGACTCCAAGACAGCCAAGCCCCTCTAGTCATCATTCAGACTAATGATGGAAAGAAGTATTTGAATGCCAATCTGGAGAGTGATCATATTGCACCATGGATGCAGGATTTCAAGGTGATTTGCTAACTTTTTCCTTTTTTGCTTGCTGTCATTTGACAACCTTTTTTTTAATGTATTTTACTATTTTCAAACTTCAACAATGCATTCTTCCAATATGAATATGTAAACTCTTATCCATATGACAAAGCATATGAGGTAATGACTACAAAGTTTGCTTTCAACATTTTCTTAGTTTTAGTGGATGTTATGTAGGGCTAGGTCTTTAATATCATGGATTGTTCTCCAGTTATACCTTTTTGATTGAAGTGCACCTATGCAGGAAGGAAAAGTTCGGCCATTCATTAAATCTGAGGTTATCCCTGCAGAGAATAATGAGCCTGTGAAAGTGGTTGTTGCTGACAGCCTTGAGGACATGGTCCTCAACTCCAAAAAGAATGGTGCGTATTAAAAGTTGTTCATACAACAAAATAATCTCTCTATATTTCTTTATTTTCTATAATTTTTTTGTTTAGAAGATGGTAAATTATTATCTATATTTTGTGTGTTTTTGTTTGCTCTTGACAGATGGGACTTTAACTTGCTAAGGGTTTACTACTTCCTTTTATCCTTCAGTTTAGTTTCTAGGGCTATCTGTTACTGAATTGATTAGTACATTAAGTGATGAGTCTTGATTCTCTGCTTTGATAATCTTATAATTCTACCTTCTGAGAACCATATAAAGAACCATGCATTTCTTTATGCAGTTTTGCTTGAGTTTTATGCCCCTTGGTGTGGACATTGCAAAAAATTGGCTCCAATCTTGGATGAAGTTGCCGTTCACTATGAAAAAGAAGCTGATGTTGTGATTGCTAAATTTGTAAGACTATTTTTTCTTGCCTTTATTGAGATCATGTTGTTTAATATTCTGATCATAATTTTATGGCTATATAATATTTTTGTTAAAATTGTCTCTGTTAATTTAATTATGTGCTGCTCATTGAGCAATATACTCTGGTAATCTGAGGATGGAAAGTCTTCTGAAAATGAAGAGTGAACATTGTTGCCTTCGAATAAAGAGACTTTAAAAAATTGCAAAACCTTTTAGAACCATCAAAAGCTCAGCTCATTTGTACTATCCTTTGTTGTATTATTATTGCTGATGCAAAATTTGCTTGCTTCTTTGTCTTCTTCAGGATGCAACTGCAAATGATATCACAAATGACTCCTTCAATGTTCAGGGTTTTCCCACAGTTTACTTCAGGTCAGCAAGTGGAAAGATATCCTCATATGAAGGAGGTAGAACCAAAGAAGACATAATTGACTTCATTGAAAAGAACAGAGACAAAGCTGCCCATCAAGAATCAGAATCACCAAAAGATGAGCTCTAAGGGTAAATATTGCTGTGTCATGGACCTTTGTCCCTCCACAATGCAATAAGATGATTTAACCTTAGAATTTCTAATGGTAAAATTTCACAATGCTCCTTTTTGGCAGGACTTAGTGTTCTCACCCTCCAGAACGCACACGTAAATGCTATGTGCATGGAAGTTACACACAAGACCCACAATTGCCTCCCTCTTAAGATTACCTAGGCTTTTTGTTTAGTTTTCCATAATAAACCGGGAGGCATTTTGTCAACTGTAGTTTAACTTTTGGTTCATGGTTGTATCAGTTTCTCGGCTGTAGTAATGTTTCAGCAATTTAAATATAGAAATTTCTGATTGAGTTACATGTCTCGTGATTGGGTTTTTTTTTTTTTTTAATATTGGATTGCACAATAGAAAATAACTTTCTTTTATCTCTTAATTTACTTCATTTATATGTGATGCGATTTAAACTTTGTACCTCTTACTTTCATTGGAATGAATTATCACCGAGTTAACCTAGATGATGGAGAGTGTGTTATTTAAATTGCATCCTAAGAAGCATTGTTGAGAAATTTAACCCTGATCCTATAATCTGCAAATTCAAGTATTACCTATGCCTCTCTCGTTTTTCATCCGAGGATATCTTGACCTTCATCTAGTGTTTCTGGGGTTATAGTTGATGCAATTTTAATATATAAGAATTCTGCTAGAAAGAAAGCCTGTTGTTTAGAACATGATATTTGGAAATCGCATTGACCTAAGTACAAACCCTGCGTGTAAGGGAGGGCACCCCCAGTATCATACTTTGATTTTAGGTCTTCTTTCTGAGGCGTTAGGAGACATTGCCTTTCTCTTGCTATAGTTTTTGTTGCACTTACAACTATTATCATCCTTGCTGCTGTCATCGGTTTTCTGTGTGCTGTTGTTGACGTCGCTGGTAGTGTCTGTGTTGCTGGTGCTTCTACAACAGCTGTTGGTATTGTGGTTGCCGTTTTCAATTAGTCCAATTTCGCTATTTGTATAGGACTGATCCATGGATTTCAGAAGGTATGACTGAATCTTCTTGACATCTGATAACTTCAGAGGCTTCAGCATAAATTCTTCTGCTCCTCCTTCCAAGCACCTATCCATCAATTTCCAATTAAACACAAATTCACAACTAACCAACACAAATTTTCCTTCATCTATACAAAAATATCCCGAGATCAAATGTAATCCCATCATTCACAATTAAGGATCTCAATTTCAGTTGAAATGGTAAAAGGCATAAGATATTATTCTTTTTGGATTTGGTATCTTATCTATCTAATAAGTTAATATTTTATGTTAAAAATAGATTCGTAATATATTTTGAATAAAAAAAAAATAAAAACTAGGATTATCAAATTTAAGAAAAAAAAATTTTCCTCAATTTTTTCAAGGAATCAAACGTTTAATCAATCAAGCCATAATCTCTTATCCAAGATATCTAAAAAGAAGAAAGACATGTGAAAAAAAAAAAAATTGAAAAGAAAGGAGAAAGACATGAGTTATAACTCAAGTTAACTTACATGGTAACTCTTGATGGTACATTCTCTGATGACATGACCACGACTGGGACATCTTTCCAAGAAGATCCCTGGATGTGTAAGCAAGACTTTCATTCCCCAATATGAAGATTATTCAAGACATAAATATATATATTTATCTAATATAGTTTATTGATTCAGTCATCATCTAGAGATATTGCAGATGATACGATATTCGAAAGTCTTGAGTGGTATGACCTTGACGCGTTTGAGTAAGTCATAGCCGCTCATCCCAGGCATACAGTAATCCGTCATGATTAAGTTCACTTTCATTCCCTGCATTCCATCAAACAAGATAAAAGACATCAATTGTTGCAGCGCAGACAATTAACAGTAGCAAAAATCAGAGAGACATGAAGAGATCAACCCTTTTCTGGGTAGGAACTGAACTGATTACCACAAAATCAAACAGATTGAAGTAAGGAAAGAATGGTAGAAATGGAACGAACCTCTTGTTGGGAAGAGGGGTGTGGATTATCATGATCAAGCAGTCCCAGATATTCCAAAGCTTTATTTCCTGACTCCACAAATGTCACTGCGGCAAATCAACAAAAACATGGTAAAAAAAAAAAACCCAGAACAATATTGAATTGAACCCAGCAAAAAAGCAAGACCCTTTTGATGATTATACATGAACCCAGTTGAAACGAACACAACCTTGGTATGATGAAATCTTAAGCAGTCTCTCTAACAGCTTCCTGTCGACAAGACTGTCATCAACAGCCAACACATGGAAGTGTTGCTGCTGCTCTTCTTCTTCTTCTTCAAATTTCATTCTTCTAAGGCAATATCAAGAAAGGGTTTTGAATTTGATGTTTTATAGAGATGATGATGATGGAGAGGAAGAGTGCCGTAGGTTTTTTCTAAAGTAGGTAACAAGGGTAAGGAGACTGTGGGTTTGTTAGAAAATTGAATGAATTTGGAAATTGTGAAATCTGTGTGTAGATTCTTTTCCTATTTGGATTTTGTTTGATATTGTTAAGGAAAATGTTGAGACATCTTTGTATTGTTCCCATTGTGGTCTCTAGTTTGATTTGTATGGGGTGGACACGATCCAAGACTTTGAAAAGGTGTTCTAACTAATTAAACTAACTTAAACAAGTTTATTATTACTCTTTTTATTATCTATATTTCTTTGGATTCTCTTAATATTTTAGTAATTATCATAATTGATAATAAAAAAGTTTAAATACACGAATTAATATGTAGATATTTAAATAAATTTATAGATAATTTTAATATTTTAAATATTAAATGTCTTAATTTTTATTTTTTAAA